TTGTTAAACTAAAAAGTTTGCGCTGGTGGACCAACACTATAAATTGACGGGGTAGCAATAAAGATAACACCATTAAACATATTTCTATTAAGTTGCGTAAATGTTTAATGGTGTTATCTTTATTGCTACCCCGTCAATTTATAGTGTTGGTCCACCAGCGCAAACTTTTTAGTTTAACAAAATCCGCATCTAAATTGTGCATAGATACGTTATTTCCCCTGTGCAATTCTCCAACCCAGTCTCACATCTCACATCACATCGTCATAAACAAATACCGGAAACAGACACAATTTCCTGAAGTAATCTTCATAAGAGGCGTTTTTGTAGAAATACTACGTCCCAAGTTGTGGACCAACGTCGTTATTACACGTTTAGATGTGAGACTGGGTTGGTCCAAACAACTCACAGACTGCATCGGGCGCTGAAATTGCTGCCCTGTGAGCATCAGATCTGACGACGCTGATTGGCTGAAATTATGTTTCGACGGCATAGTTTACAGATAGCAACAGTCAGCAATGTGTTGGCTGCTGCTCTGGCTGAGGGCTCCTTTCTTACCGCCCAGACGAGAGAGGGTAATGATACACGCAGGCAGGCGGAAACATGTGACTTATCAGTAACTTTAGACATCGTAACACAATTTTAAACGAGATTTTATTATAGATAATACATTTTACTGATACCAACTATATAATATGTACCTTGTTCATTAAAAATAAAAATAAAAAAAAAATTTTAAATTTTTTTTTTAATAACAATCAAACATGTGGGAAGAGGGGTGGCGTCGCCCCTAGCGCCCCTATGGGCCGGCCGCCACTGGTGACGACATGTTTCGACCCGACTGTCAAAGCGCCTCTGGAGAGCAGCGGCCTCTGCTAAAATACATCAAACTGCTGCAGTGCGCCCCCTGTTGGCAGCATCACAAACACCATCGGTCCCTAACAGCTGTTGAATGTTTATCTGCTCTGAACTTTCTTTTTTTCCCTCAGAAACATGCTTTCGGCCCTTCTCTTTTTTCTCGTATCCTCTCTTCAGTATTGTCTCGATGACGCTGAATGTGCATGTTCTTTCAATCTGCCGATCTCTCTCCTTCACCTCCCAGCCCTCTCCTTGTTTCCTCCTCCTCTTCTTCCAGCTCTCCTCCTCGGTAACCCTCTCTATGACCTCCTCCTGCTGACTTCTTGTCACATGACATCAGGCTGGCTGCGTGGTAAGAGCTGAAAGGTGTGACTTCAACGTCTATCAGATACTAATTTCCTTCCTACAGACCTTTATTACATTTCTCTGCTTTTGTTTCCTGCTGTGGGTGGAAGTGTTCTGACTAAACTATAGAGGTTCAAAATCATGTATGTAAGGTCGAAGTCACATTAATGAAATAAATGCTGCCCTAAATGTAATTAAATGAATGTGGTCATCAATTCAGGATTATCTCAGAGTAGTTAACTCAAAATAATAGATTAATTATATTGGAAATTATAGAGAAAAATATATTTATATTGTATTATTTGTATTGTATTGATACCAATACATTTTATATTGGTATCTGTGTGCGTGTTAATAATAAGCAGTACATAAATAGTACACGTTTTTAGAGAAAAGAAAAGCACTGACCAAGTTTGTCCACCAGAGAGCGTTGACTCTTCCATTTTTATATTTTTAAATATCATAATAACCATTTTTGAAAAACGAAATGTGATTAACCCTTATCAAAAGATATTAGTACGGTATATTTTTTAACTTAATCTCAAGTATCAATTTTCAGCTTTAGCCTTAAAAATCTTTCAGTGAAACTCTTCTGATGATCAAAATATGACATATCAGGGATCCTGCTGATATCACAAATGTTATTGTTCCTCTACATTGACCAGAGGTGGAAGAAGAATTCAGTTATAGAATCCTACATATTAAATGTTTATATTATAGTTATTGATGCATTAATGTGTTCATCACTTTAATGTTGCATCTGGTAAAGGTGGGGTTTATTTTTAATTACTTTGTATATTACGTGGTAGTTTAACCTAAAATAATATACCATCATTTATACATTTTATCTTTTACCAAGAACATAAATCAACAATGTATTGGAGTAAAAAGTACAACATTTGCCTACAAAATGAGGTCAAGTAAATGTATTGAGTAGCATAATATGGACATTCTCAGTTGAAATACTTCAAATTTCTAGTTACAGTATGATACAGCAATGTACTTAGTTACATTCCACCACTATTATTTCACATATATTACACCGTTATAACACTGTTATTACACTGTTATTACACAAAGGTAATTTATTGGAGATATAAACACATTGATATTAATTAAAGTTTGAAGAGAGTTCCACAGAACTTTTTTTTAAATGTGTTTCACTAAGATACGAAGTGATTCATAGGAAGCTGTAAAAACAAAATGATTATTTATGCTCCCAAGGACTCACAGAGAAAAGTCTGAAAGGAAGAACTGACCTGTACTCTCTCCCTCAGCGTGTGGAGGAGGCTACGCCGAGCCTGACGTCACCCAGTGCACGCCGCACCAGTGTTTCCATAGCAACGCACCGCACTACGCTGAAACTGACATTGTGCGGCTGCAGGGCGTCACCGGCAGCAACATGTACGCTGTCCCCGCCCTCACCGTAGACTCGCTCACCCGGAAAGACATCTCTGCCGCCGAGTTCCCACGGCAACAGCTGATCTTCAGGGAGAAGCTGGGGGAGGGGCAGTTTGGAGAGGTGAGCAGGGGTCGGCCTTGGCAACACCAAATCAAGAAATACTTTAAATCCAGAAAAGTTTGCAGAATTGAAACACGTCTGAAAGGTTTTTAAAATGACGTGATGTGTGTATTACATTTTATCTTAACATAGTGCACTGGTGTATCAATTTCTAAGAATCTGACTAGGATTTCCTAAAATAAGAGAATATCAGGATGTCATAAAACTCTTTTGTCTTTTGAAAGTAGGCTGCTTGCTTCCATGGTTGTATTTATACCTAGTATGTCCTGCAGGTCCACCTGTGTGAGGCAGAGGGACTCCCAGAATTCCTTGGGGAAGGGTCCCCCCTCCCTGACAGAGATGGGCGTTCTGTACTGGTAGCTGTTAAACAGCTGAGGGCCGACGCCACCAGCCAGGCCAGGTACAGTGTGTGTGTGTGTGTGTGTGTGTGTGTGTGTGTGTGTGTGTGTGTGTGTGTGTGTGTGTGTGTGTGTGTGTGTGTGTGTGTGTGTGTGTGTGTGTGTGTGTGTGTGTGTGTGTGTGTGTGTGTGTGTG